GTATCCGAGAGGGCGCAATTATTCTTAGTGCCTGCTGGAAGAGTATGCGATCCCCGGGCGCGCCTCCATTTCCATTTAGATAATGGTATTATCTTACGGATATCCCACCCTCTTCCTAATCGAGTGCCTGATTGTGTGATCAGGATGGAGTGCTGAAATTTCTCTGTAATCCATGGTGCCTATTGTTTATTCTGGAATGATTTGCTAACTGATTGAGGAACAACAAAGTGAGATGATGAATAATCTTCAGAAAATATTACAAAAAATGGGATCTGTAGATCAATAAAATAAAGTACAAGGTTGCGTTACAAGTGCGTTTAGATTGGCCGAAGTATTACATAATGCAAACTGAACGGAAACAGGGCATTCTTAAAAAATATATGTTAGAACGTTCTCAACAGCATGCTGTTTGCTGTTTTGTTGTGATAGCTATTAGGCTGTTACCATGATCATAATCATAATCGAACCACATTTCACTGAATATGTAGATTGAATAATGCTTTCGGGTCCGTTAACTGTTTAGGATCATTAGTGACCAGAGGTGGAAATTGAATTCCGGGGTAGCAGTGGCCCAGCTCCTCACTGGGTAGTGAGATGTGGTGCAGACTTACTCGTCAGCGGGGAATTCCCCGTCCACGATGTCTCCCAGCAGCACCACCTCATGCGAAAAGCTCTCAACAGAACTCCCGACTGTGGATAGTACAGTGCACGTATATCTATTAGTTGGTGTATTATGAATGAATTGAATTAATGCCTTTTTTACGTGGCAAGACGCAGGCATAAAGCCTGCTCTTCCGTCTGACCACGCAAATTTCGGTACGATCCTTTCACCAACTAAGTGAGAAAGGAGATATATCGTTGGACGGAACAGGCGATTTCAATTAGCTCAGAGTCGCGTCATTTAGCTTGCAGCATTTTTTACAGCAAGTAAATCTACTAACATGGGACAGCCGGCTTTTCTCTTCCCCTCCGAAGGAGGGCGTAGAGGAAAGATTTTTTCGCCTTAAAAATTCACGGCTTGGATCGGTTGAACCCGCCGACTTGAATCCGATGCGCGCGTCGCATGTACACCATCGCCGCGGCGTAGGATGTGAGTAAGAGGAGAGATCAGGACAAGGAAAGAAGGAGGGAAGATGGCGCGGCATTCCGTTATCGTGTTCTTAGGATACTGCTCTTACAGTTATGCTAGTATCTGATGATAAAAACTCAGTAAACTACCGATCAGCAGCAGTGAAGTTCAAGAATTAACCTCCAGACAGTGGCTGAAGTAGACCAGTTTATGATGACAAATTCATAATGTTCAAAATCAGAAATTTAGGACAAAGTCGCGATCTTGACAAGATATTCTTTTCGCATCTTCTTTTGTCAGAATACTTCACCTTTTATTCTTCTCCGCTCCTCAATTGTCAACCTATTATTTAAAGTCGCCTGAGTAATTGTAGAGGGTCTTCGTAAGCAGGAAGCGTGTTAACATATAAACGTCCAAAACGGAATACGTCAAGAAGTAGGAAAGTATGAAAAGTGCTCAGAACATATATTTTTTATACCAATATTAATCTATGTTTTCGTGTCACCTATACGGGAGGGGAGGAAGACTACAACCTTGGAGAGAATGCTTCTGATGGGTGTTACGTTACACAAAAGAAATCATTATAAATGACTCATCCTGGGTTCAATAGAAAAAACAAAGGTTTGACATTTCAAACAAACTCGTTGAACTGTTCTCATCGAATACATTTACAAAAAGCAATTGACCATAAACGACCTACCTTTGTGAGTTCAGGAGTATGACAACAATCCCTTAATTTTGGATCACTTGATAAAACCGCCCCAAAAACATACTGGAAAAAGACGAAAATTAATGTGTTTTTAATCAAGTAATTTGTACTTCAAGATTCGCTTACATTGTTCATTCAAGCAGTACATATATTTTATTGGCATTAGTCTGCATGAAGGACGGACGACATAATTCTTTTAATGTGTGAAACGAATCTCAGTGTATTGTTAAACATGTATTACCGGACACAGAGGCTCTAATTTGCGACTGTCTCTCATCCAGTCGTCACGTTTGTGTCCTCTCGGAGGCTCGATCGAATGCGCCCGGCAACGAAATGGGGAAAGAGCGGAGAGGTTGAACTGCGCAGAACAAAAAAACTTTCCACTGCACATACATTAACTTTTTGGCTCATGGCTCAACCGCCACCATAATTATCGGCAGCCACTGACTTAACTTTCCTTCCATGGTTAGAACTTGGTCTGGCCAGCACATACGATATCTATGATATAAAGCATCCTTGGGCATAGTGCCGCCAATCCGTGGCTTCACTTGGCCGTGGCTTGGCCGAAGAAAGCCACGCCCAGAGACTCGGGCTGAGCGCAGCGGGAGACCAGCCCCCCTCCATGTCGTTTTTCAATGCGGAGCATCTACGCAATCGTGTGGACCCCGAGCGCGCTTCCCGTTGCTGGAGCACATTGGCGGCCTCACGACGCCCTGTGAGACGGCTTACGGCGAACACGGTTGGCGGGGAGAGGGGAGTTCTCGTCGTGTCCCGTCCCCCGCGCCGCGCCACCCTCACCCGCTATCTCTGCATCTCCGTCACGTTACCACCCCAACGCCGCCGTCCTCCCACGCCGCCGCCGCCACCTCCCCGCGCCCACGGTTTGCTCCCCTCCGGCCGTTTCGTCGCCCCCTCCGCCGTTGCCCCCCCCCTGGCCGTCTCCCGGCTGCCCGGTTCTCTCCGTTACGGTCGTGGCGAGCCGAAGCCCCCCCCCCCCGCACCCTTAGCCATCCCTCTCACCCAAACGTGTCACATCACCGCATCTTCCTCGCACCAACGCCACTCCGTCGCGTCGTGTCCCTAGCACTCCTGCTGCCCCTTATCACGCCCCGCGCTCCCAGTGCGCCCCCTCGGCCCCTCCCTGCCGCAACCCCTCGCCATCGCCTGCCGCCCTCGGCCGATAACCGCCTCTGCCCTGCATCTGCCCCCTCACGCGTCCCCCCGCGCCCTCCCCCACCACCTCTCCACCGCCCTCTCCACACGCCTCTCCACCGGCCTCTCCCACACCCTTCTCCCCCACCCTCCCCCCCCACCGCCCTCTCCACCGCCCCCACGCTCTCTCCACCGCCCTCTCACCGCCCTCTCCCACCCCCTCTCCCCACCGCCCTCTCCGCCCGCCTCTCCCACCGCCCTCTCCACGCCTCTCCCCTCCCACCGCCCTCTCCACCGCCCTCTCCACCGCCTCCATGCCCCGCTGACACCGTCTCTTCCCCTGCCTCCGCCTCACTCACCGCCTCCCTCGCCGCTCTCGGGTCGCTCACTGCCACGCGCTTTCCCCTGCGCTCCCCTCGGCCGCCACCCGCCCCCTCCCTCCACCTCCCGACCCCCGCGTCACAAGCCGTTTCCTCACCGTTCCCTGCTCCCGCAGCGCCACGGCATTCCTACCCCTACCTTACGCCGCCAACTACTTTCCCCTGTGGCCCGCGGCCCCGCCACCACAGCCGCCTCCCCCCCCCCGCGCGGTAATTCGAAGGCAGCGTGCCGCGCGGCTCCTCAGGCACTGCACATTGCGTCAGTTCACATCAAAACAACGTGCCCGCCCGACTCCCCCCCCCCATTCCCCCTTCGCAATCCGTCTCTCTCCCTCGGGCTCTCTGGCTCGGCGCACCCCAGCTGCGGCCCCTGGGAGGTGCCGAACGGCGGCTGGCGGCTAGCGAAATTCCGCGTCCTCGAGACCGGGCCGCGATCAATGGTTAACTTCTTTGGATAGGCGTGCAGCTGCATTGGACTTGGGTGATCCTGCGGAGAACCTCACAGACTCTGTAAATCTTGAATTTTCCCCACTTTCGTCATCGACAGCATGAATTAGCAACTGACGTCTTCTGGAATCAAAACGTGTTCACAGCATCTGTTCGGAGGACGTCCTATAATTTCTTTTTCCTCCCCTGTCAAGTTCGATTGCAATAGTCGTGATACGTTATCTAGCATTCTCTGCAATTGATATTTTCCCTTTTGTTCCGTTTTAGTCCGCTTTAGTTCCGTAAATAGTCCTTTTAGCTTATTTGTATTTTATACGGAACTTTGCTGCCCCAACTCTCGGTCAAAATTGGAAAGTCTTTGGAGGCTGACGTTTCAAAGAGCTACTCTTCATTGACAGTCCATCGTTCATGCGAGTTTTGCTAACTCTCCTTCCATCCGTTTGACAAATATCAATACATCACTCACAATTTTGTATATTTGTAAAACTGACTCCCAGTTTGTGTGTTGTACCGTTTCGATCTTTCGGTCTGTCAACCCGTTCATGTGTTTTGACGCGTGCCAGACCCGAGTGATCTCTCGCTTTAGAGAGTGACATCAAGTGTCGCTTGCCACGAGCCAGGCGGTCTTGGTCTCGCCTCAGGCCAATGATAAGTTCCGGATGCTGTGTCGTTTTGCGTTCGGTACAAGCATCGTGAGTGGCCTTTTGCAGCTGCAGCCATGTGCGTGAT